GCTTGGTACTGGGATCCAGCACACCTGTGGGTGATCCAATCAGCCTGGAGGAGTATATCTGTGGGAGACTGTCGACACTTCGACGCCAGATTGTTGCCAGTTATGGTATTTCAGGCCTCACAGCGTTAGCTTGTGGTTACCTTATTGAAGAGTACTTTAGTGATCCTTTGTGTGCCTCCTTCCAGGCCTTGCATCCTGAGGATCCCCTGGTCCAGCAGTCACCTCCACTGGAGCTCGGACCCTCCTGCCCGCCCTCCACCGCAGCTTCCTCACTGCTCGGTTCCCAAACCGTGCGAGCCTGACTCCGGAGGAACCGGGCTTCTCTCTTCCTCGCGGCGGAACTCCCTCAGTCACCAACCTCCAGAGACACCGGCCTGATTTCCTACCCCTTTGAGCCTGTCAAACCAAATCCATCCTGATACTTATTAAAGTCGCTCACACTCCATCCAGTCGTCTGCTGATTCCGCATGTGGGTTCGACGAGTAAATAACATGACACTCTTGTCCTGATGCGCCCATCTGTCTGGAAGAGGCCAAGTTAATCTGACCACGTTGCTCCAGAGTCGATGATTGATAATTGAAAAATATGTTAATTATCCAATAAGAGGCTGTTCATCTACCCAAATCCAGGTGACTTTTTATTTTAGCCAGAAGGTGTAGCTTACAGTTTTATTGAGCAACTTATCGACTGTTTTAAAACAGCCTGAATGACTGGTTAATATTAGGGGTGAGACATGATTAAAATGTTTAATTAGGTTAATTTCAGGGTCTGTAATTAATTAAATTTTAATTTGAAATCCAAATGCTGAGAAAATGAGGAACATTTTCAATTCAAACACTTTTTTCTGTTTTAATACTGAATAAATAGACATTCAACAACAAATATTTGTTTTTAATCTGTTATTCTGATTATTCTACTGTTAAACTGGTGTGAATTTCTACTCCAGTGTTTCAGGAAGTCCTGATCATTCATGGAGCTTCTTCAGAAACTGAGGACGCTGATATTAGCATTAGCTGCTACATGTTTAGCATTGAGATGCTACTAAAAGCTAGCTGTGCTGGTAGGCTAACTGCTTTTAGCGCAACCTGAACACAACAAAAGTCTTTTCCAATCAGATCAGTTGGATTTGCTGCTGTTTGTGGATGTGCGTCAAATTTAAGGGCGTACCAGAAACACAAGAGCAAGGTTCC